CGGGTTATGTCGGACTCGCACCGACTAAAACCCCATGGTGTTCCACCCTCGTCGCATATTGGCAGGGCCACGGGAACGCTTTCGCACACTTCCGCGGCCCCACCTGCGCTGGCCACTCCATGGCGGCCCCTCCTCGGGAGAGGACTACTCCTCCCCCATCTCCCTCTCAGGTAAGGCGCACCAGAACACATGGCGCGCCCTCCTCCTCGGCCTCCAATTTGCAATGCGCAACAGACGCCCCCGAGTCCGATGCGCGAAGGCCATGGGGCCAGGAAAAACTAGCACTCAGAAGCACCGGTCTTCCTGGCCCCAGCGGCGGATCTGGTCTATGGCTCCGCCGCCAACCAAGATTCGGCTGCGGAGGGTAGGGAGAGTGGCGCCTCGCAATACCGACACTCCTCTCCCCCCGCAGCCCCACCACCACCGCATCATTAACGGTGCGGCCCCGTCAGAGTCGCGGAGGATAGGGCGAGTGGCGCATCGCCATACCAACACTCCTCTTCCTCCGCGACTCCACCTCGGCTGCAGCGGTAGAGGGTGCGGACTCCCCTCTCACCGCAGCCCCCGACACACATCCGAAGTGGGCTCGCCAAGCCCACTCGGAGTGGCCACCTCGGGCCGGCCCTACACCACGGGCCAGCCAAGGGGTTCCTCTTTGTTCACCGTGGGTGACCCATCCACGGCTACTAAGCCCCCCCGCCACGACAAGACGGGAACCTGTTCGGGGGGGGGGGGGGGTAACCTAACCTAACCTAACCTAACCGACCTACCGTCAACTGCCGTCCCGAACGCCACGTTTTTAAGTTGCTCCGCACTTAAAAATCCCGAAAAATAGGTTTTTCGCAACGGATTTTGGTGTGTGTCAAAAGTTGCGTCTTGACTCGCGGTATAAAGTAGTGAAAACCGCAAGAAAATTGGAGTTTCTGTGAAAAAGTTAAGGTGAAAAAAGTGATTTTGAAAAATTTTCAAAGTAAAACGCTGCGCGTTAATCGCTTTGACCCCTATTTTTTAAAGTGCGGCCTTAAAGTGACTCGCGGCCCCTACCCATGTGCAAAAATTGAGATTTCTCGGAGCCACAGTCTTCGAGAAAAACGCAAAAAAAAAACAAGTGCCACGTGGGCACGTGTTTTGTGACGCAGAGCCGTGCGGCTATTTTTTGAAGCTGGATTCTGGTAGCACGCGCGGAGAGGAGCCGGGAGCAACTTTCAAAACAAATTTAAGTTAAGTGGCTTAGGAGATATTAAACTTTTAAAATCTGACAAAAATTGATATCTTAATAACTTTTAAACTATAGTGAAGACCCCTATTTATTAATTTAAAATAGTGTAAAGAAGCAGATAAAGAACACAAATAAAAAATTTTGGATTTTTGTAGTGAGTAGTTTTTTAGTTATAAATTTTTTAATATTTTTATTAACACGTGTTACCCTTAGAATAAGTAGTAGTAAATTATAAAATACAAAATTAGTATAAGGATCTTAATAATAACCTATGTAAGTTCTTGCAGAATTTTAAAACAAAGTTTGGCTCTAAAAATCAGATTTTTCTTTAAAAATTATCTTATTTTTCAAAAAATTTAATTAAGGGGGGCTTGAAAAGCCAAAAGATTTGTAAAGACGTGAGCTCGGCACCGAGACCTATTAAATAAGCCCAAACACGGGCCAAATCAGTTAAGAGACGGCCAAGTTAGAAAATAGGTGTCTGGATCGGCGGCCATTTTTAAACCACACCATATTGTAGCCCTGGTCGAGCCCGGTAAGACCAACCCAAGCACGGAGCTGTAGGCCTGTTTGTTCGAAAGTTACAGCGTGGAAACCGTAAATTTGGCAGCCATCTTGTATTTCAACCAGAACTTGAAAACGCGGTAACTTTGGAACCTACTGGGCTAGGAATACCGAGTTTGGATTCCTTGAATAGGGCTCGAGGAGCGCTTTTGACTGGTGTTTAGAAACAGACTCTACGTAGAGCCAGTAACCTGTTAGCCTGTAAGTCTCTTATTAATGAATGTTTTTTGGAAACTTTTAAGTTGGTAGACATATATCCTCTAGAATTTTTTTGTTTTTATTAGATATTAATTTTAATGTGTAAAATATAGAGTAAGACAAATATAGACGTTTCTACATAGAGTACAGAGTATTAACATAAATATATTAACGTAACTTAATTGAAAAGTCAATAATATTGAAATTGGAATAGTGTTTGTAGACTGACTGACTCTAGATAGAGTCATATAGGTATATATAGGCTAAAATAATCTTACTTTAAGGAAATTTACGGACATATATATGTACATGTCGCATCCGAAGCTGGAAGCTTCAGGAAGCGGATACTAGGGACAAATATCATGCGAGGGTAGCCGAAAAGCTTGACACCATCGATGGCAGAAACGAATGTGTAGAAAGAACATGGCAGAACCTTAGGGATGGAATGGTAAGTGCAGCGGAAGAAGTGTGTGGGACAATAAAAAGAGGCAGTAGTAAAAGAAGAGATGCATGGTGGAATGATGAAGTGAAAGAAGCTGTAAAGAAGAAGAAGAAAGCATGGTTAGACTACTTGGCCTCTAGTAATGATAAAGATATGAGAGAGAAGATGAAAGAAAGATATAGGCTGCAGAAAGTTCGCACGAAAGCATTGATTGAGGAAGTGCGTGAAAGGTGTAGAATGGAAGCGGATGAAAGGTTGTCGCACAACTTTAAGGAGAACTCCAAACTCTTCTGGAAAGAGGTTGGAAGGACCCGAAGTGGTGCGACGGCCTTAAGAATGAACAAAGTGCTTTCGAGAACTAATGACGTCCTCTCAGAAAAATCGGACGTCATGCAGCGATGGAGCGAATTTTATAGAGAAATGTATGCGTGTGATGATCTTAGTGAGGGATCCGGGGATGACGCCGTGACTGGCACGCCAGACCCGGACCTCGATGACACTGAGGTCATCAGTATGAAAGAGATTGAACGTGCGATTCGAAGTTTGAAATGTGGTAAGGCTGCGGGACTAGACAGAGTTACTGCTGAAATGGTCAAGTATGGTGGGCCTCGCGTCTGGGACAGCTTTCATCTGCTGTGCAATTTGTGCTGGCGGACGGGGGATGTCCCGGATGATTGGCGATCCGCAGTCATTGTGCCTTTATATAAAGGTAAAGGTTCACATTTTGACTGCGGGTGCTATCGGGCGATCAGCTTGACCAGTTTAGCAAGTAAAGTTTACTCGAAGGTTTTGACACGTAGGATGCAAGAGAAATCGGAAAGATTTCTATGGGAGGCACAATGCGGATTTAGACCTGGAAGAGGATGCACGGATCAAATGTTTTCTCTCCGTATGATCACGGAAAAGCTTCTGGCTGTTAACCAGAAGATTTTCTGTGCTTTTGTGGATCTTGAGAAAGCATTTGATAAGGTTGTAAGGAAGAAAATGTGGGAACTGTTGCCGGGGTATGGTGTGGATGGCCGATTGCTAAGGGCTGTGCAGTCTCTTTACTGTGACTGTAAAGCCTGTGTGCGGGTAGGGCATGACCTGTCACCCATGTTTAGCGTCCAAACGGGCGTAAAACAGGGTTGTGTCATGTCTTCCTGGCTGTTCATACTGTATCTCGACAGCTGTTTACAAAAGCTGAAAGATAGCTGTTTGGGTGTGAAATTGGGTGACATAAAAGTAAATTGTCTGCTGTATGCTGATGATGCAGTGCTTATTGCACCATCAGAGGCAGAACTGCAGGCATTAGTCACGTGTATGAAAGAGGAATGTGAAATTAAAGGTCTCCGTTTGAATGCTAATAAAACTAAGGTTCTGGTATTTGAAAGGGACGAAGAGAGAACGAAGTGTGAAATATGGGTAAATCAGGAATGTCTAGAACAGGTAAATGAAATTGTATACTTGGGGAGTGCTTTTAGCCGGGATGGAAGATGTGATTTAGATGTGGACAGGCGTGTCGCTGCCGGGAACAAAGTCAATGGTGCCCTGACTGCGTTAGTCAAAAGGCAAGGCGTAGCGAAGAGTGCACGCCTTGCAATACATAACGCAGTGTTGGTACCGACTTTGTTATATGGCAGCGAAACCTGGGTATGCCAGAAGAAGCATAAAAGTAAGTTGAATGCAGTGGAGATGCGATCTCTTCGTAAAATGTGCGGCGTTACTATGGCCGACCGAAAGCGAAACGAAGAGATTCGCAATATGGCAGGTTTGAAAGATGACCTTATCACAAAAATTGATAAGGGCGTGCTTCGGTGGTTTGGGCACGTTGAGCGAATGAGTGAAGACCGAATGGTGAAGAAAATATATAGCGCGAAAGTTAATATTAAAAGGTGTCGAGGTAGACCGAGACTAACTTTCGAAGACCATGTGAGCAAATTGCTCGAAGAGGGTAGGGTCAAGAGTACTCGGATACCTAGACGTGCATGTATGAAGAAGATAATGAATCTGAAAGAAGCGAAAGAGATATGTACGGATCGTGACACTTGGCGATCTGTTCTCTCTGGCTACCCCGTCAGGGATTGTGCGTGAAGATAAGTATATATATGTACATATATAGATATTGACTGAATATAAGAGTGACGAAATTCAATAGGTAGAGTCACGACTCTACATATAACAAAAATTTGTCCTGAACGGAGACGGGGTATTTGTGGTTCTTTTTAATTAGGAAAACGTGTTTTTACTGTAACCTATTAGTTACTGCAAAATTTTAAAAATTCTACAAACCTTTAAGAATCTTTTAATTAATTGACACACATACTTGATTTATTTTTTATTGCTGTTGACTGTTGAAACCTAACGCGTTCCCCTGGCAAAATGTTTGGCTTCCGCACCCCCACAAAACAGACCGAGGATAGTGCCAAGGACAAAAGTCCTCACGGTTCACCAAACGGGATAGAGAAGGCAGGTCCTTCTACTAAAAAGGACCCAATAACACAGGCCCCCAGCGTGCGAAAAAGCATCGGTGAGTGGGAATCAGGAAAGACAGACACGGAAGCTGTAAAACAGTCCTCTCCGAAAAAGGTAGCCCCATTGGCTCGACAGAAACAAAAAATTATTCCATCTCAGGAAGCAAGAGGAACAGCTCGTAAAATAGTAACAGAGAGCACAGACAGCTCTCCAAAAACCGAAATAACTACAACAAAGTATGTGGATCGCCTGACAGACGCTCGAGCCTGTTTGCAAAAGGCCAAATTACACCTTAGCAACTCTAGAAACCTGAGGACTGACATTAAAATGGAAGTCACTCAGGTAATAGAGAGACTTTATCAATTAGTGAAAGAAGCAGAAACAGGTAAGAATATAGAGAAAGTGGAGAAATCTCAATATCAGGAGAAGGAAGAGGAGAGACAGGAAAACGAAAATAAGAAAAGAAGGGAAGAAGAACAAACCTAATGAAGAAATTGGATGAACACGGGAAACTTATAGAGGAGAGCAGAAGAGAGATGTAAAAATTAAGAGAAGAAATTAAGGAAGATAGAGTGACATATGCGAGTGTAGTGGCTGGGCCACAAAGGGGCTTACTTTCAGAAAAAACGGCAATGCATTCGGTGATAATTACATCCAATGATGAAAAAGAAACAGGAGACGAGGTGATGGATAAGATAAGGAAAGCAATAAATGCTAAAGAGGAAAGACTAAAAATAGACAAGATTAGGAAGGCAAGGGACAGAAAGGTAATAGTGGGATGTCGAACAGAGAAGGAAATAAGTAGAGTCAAGGAAAGACTAAAGATGGCAGGGAAAGACCTAAATGTAGACTATATACAAAATAAGGACCCACTCATAATCCTGAGGGATGTCCTACAGTATAACACAGATGAGAAAATAGAAAAGGCTATAAGAATGCAAAATAAACATCTTTTTAAAGACGTATTAAACAAGGATGATAGAATGGAGGTCAAATACAGAAAAAAGACCAGAAACCCGCACACATCGCACGTGGTTGTTAGAGTCTCACCTCAAATATGGAACCGCCTAATAAAAGCTGGAGTTATCCATATTGATCTTCAACGAATCAGAGTAATGGATCAGTCCCCTCTGGTTCAATGTTCGAAATGTTTAGGATATGGACATAGCAAAAGAACATGTACTGAGACGAGTGATGTATGCTGTCACTGTGGAGGACCACATCTAAAATCTGAATGTGCGGAATGGTTATCTGGAGGACCGCCAGTATGTAAAAACTGTGACAAGGCAAATCTCGACAAAAAAGAGCATAATGCCTTCAGCGCAGACTGTCCAATAAGGAGGAAATGGGAAGCCCTGGCAAGGTCTACAGTAGCATACTGCTAGGGTTGTCCCGGGGTCGAACATTGAACAAAACGCCGAAAACCACCGATATCACGTATTCCAGGCGAACCTACAAAGATGCGGCCACGGCCGAACTAATCACAGAGGCGGCAAAAAGGAGGATATCCTTTGCCATGGTACAGGAGCCTTACATTGGACGGATTGGTCAGATAAAAAACTACTCGGGGACGAGAATAGTACAATGCAGCAGAAGCCAGTACACTGAAAAGGTTATAAAGGCGGCAATTGTGCTATTCGACGACACAATCGACATGACCCCATGCCCCAGTCTGACAACAGAGAATATTGCAGTCGCAAAACTCAGAACAGGGGCTTGGGAGCTTGGAGTGGTGTCCGTCTACCTAGAGGGGGATAAACCAATCGAACCATACTTGAACATGATTGGAACGGCCGTGGAAAGCATAGGGACAAGGAACGTAATACTCGGTGGTGACGTAAATGCGTGGAACACCTGGTGGGGAAGTCGTGAAACAGACATTAGAGGAGTGGAGCTTGTTGCAAAGCTTGATGAATTGGAACTACATACTTTAAACAGGGGTACTGAGCCTACATTTGATATCATTAGAGGTGGGAAAAGATTCTCGAGCTGTGTTGATATCACTACTTGCTCGACTAGCCTGCTCGGAAGGATGCATAACTGGAGACTATCCGATGAAATAACTAGTTCAGACCACAGGGCAATCTTATTCGACATAAATTTGAAGAAATCAATAGGCACGGATATAAAGAGAACGACTAGGATGTACAACACGAAGAAGGCAAATTGGAACAAGTTTCGTGAGAAACTTGTCCAGATTTGGAATGACAAAAGGTTAGATAAAGCAACAATTGATGGATTAACAAATACAGAAGAATTAGAGGAAAGAATTAACGATTTCACAAATTCAATGACAGAAGCCTGCGAATACAGTATACCAAAGTTAAATATTTAAAAACGAGTAGGATTTCCCTGGTGGACTGAGGAGCTAACACAGCAGAAAAAGGAGGTCTCCAGATTGAGACGCCGTATCTCATACGTAGCGCCAGTCCGTCGTGAGTGGGTGGTCGAGCAGTACAAAAGGGCGAAAGAAGAATATCAACAGGAAATAAAGAGGGCTCAGACCACCAGTTGGAAAGACTTTTGTAGCAAGCAGGAGAGAGAGACTATGTGGGATAGTGTGTATAGAGTAATTAGCCGAACAATGGTGCGACAGGACGAAATCCCGCTTGTACAAGGTGTAAAGACATTGGAAGGTTAAGGCGGAGGAACTAACGTGGGCCGTGTCAAGTTTTAATCCGAAAAAAGCGCCAGGTGACGACGGCTTTACATCAGACATCTGTAGAGTAGCTATAATCGTGGATTTAGGACTGTTCTTGGCACTGGTCAATAAATGTATGGAACTCACATACTTCCCCAATAAATGGAAGAAGGCGGTAGTGGTAGTGTTACGGAAACCGGGTAAAAGGGACTACACACACCCCAGATCTTACAGGCCGATTGGGCTATTGCCTGTGCTGGGCAAGGTCTTCGAAAAAAATGGTAGTTCGAAAAATCAAGTGGCACATCGTACCAAAGCTAAGCCGGAAACAATATGGGTTCATGCCGCAGCGTAGCACCGAGGACTCCCTTTATGATATGATGCAGTTCATAACAACCAAGCTAAAAGACAAAAAGCTCATCTTACTGATATCACTAGACATAGAGGGAGCCTTCGATGATGCCTGGCGGCCGGCGATACGATGTGGACTTGCGAAGACTGGATGCCCAGTAAACCTAAGACGCCTGATAGATAGTTATCTCAGGGACAGAATAGTGTGCCTGAGATAGGCGGGGGCAGAATGGGTAAAAAATACCACAAAGGGGTGTGTGCAGGGCTCAATAGGGGGTCCGATTTTTTGGAACATATTGCTGGACCCACTATTGAAGGAATTGAGTGCGAAAGAGACACATTGTCAGGCTTTTGCGGATGATGTAGTCCTGATTTTCTCTGGGGACACGGCAAAACAGGTTCAGGAGCAGGCAAATGTGACTCTTGCACATGTCCATAAGTGGGGAGCGAGAAATAAGCTTAAGCTTGCGCCAGACAAAACCAAAGCGATGATAATAACAAACAAACTTAAGTACGACGCACCACTTCTGGAGATGGGCGGGAAGAGCATCGGCCTCTCAAGAGAAATAAAAATACTCGGCCTCACAGTCGATGACAGGCTTGCCTTCGACAAACATGTAAAAAATGTATGTTGTAAGGTACAGAACCTGTATCATCAGCTTTCGAGAGCCGCAAAGATACATTGGGGCCTAAACCCGGAGATCATCAGGACTATATACACTGCAGTGGTGGAGCCGATAATTTTGTATGCGGCCAGTGCTTGGGTGACAGCAGTTAACAAACAAAAAGTTAAAAAACAAATCGATATGGTGCAGCGCGGATTTGTGCAGAAAATTATAAAATCATACAGGACAGCATCATTACACTCAGCCCTAGTACTCGCCGGGCTGCTTCCTTTGGATCTAAGGATCCGGGAAGCAGCCTCGCTTTATGTAATAAAGAAAGGTTTATCCCGACGAGTAGTGGGTAACAGAGAGGTAGAAATGAAAGTAGAATACTCAAAGACCCCACATCCCGCGGAACAGATCGAATTGAAGTTTATATGCCTGCCTTTAAATTGGAAAATTTTTGCACCGTCTACCAGGCAGAACTGCTGGCTATCCTTGAAGCAACCAAATATGTAATTAAAATACCAGCGCAGAGTTGTAATTTGTACAGCGATTCGAGATCTGCTCTAGAAACAAGTCTGTTCAAGACAAAAGACCGGAGGACATAGAAGACCTCTCTGATGATGATCCACCCTTCACACCGGCCGAACTGGAGACAGTGCTGAAAGCATTGAACCCAAAAAAAGCTCCGGGTCAAGATGGCTTAACTTCATATATTTGTACTGTAGCCATTCAAAGCGAAAATGAGGTATTCTTGGCGTTGGCAAATAAATGTCTATCGTTAGCATACTTTCCCAAGCAATGGAAAAAAGCACACGTCATAATTCTCCGTAAACCTGGAAAAGAGGACTACACTCACCCAAAGTCCTACAGGCCCATAGGCCTACTACCAGTCCTGGGGAAAATAGTCGAAAAACTTATGGTGGGTCGCTTGCAATGGCACACCATACCCATGTTAAATCCGAACCAATATGGCTTCATGCCACAGCGCGGAAGCGAAGATGCCCTCTACAACTTAATGGACCATGTAAGATCAGAACTCCTCAACAAAAAGATGGTGCTTATCATCTCTTTGGATATAGAGGGAGCCTTCGACAACGCATGGTGGCCAGCACTCAAGCACCAGCTCATAAAAAAGAGGTGCCCAAGAAATATCTACGCAATGATAAACTCATACCTTAGTGACCGTAGTAAGATCCTGGTAAACTACGCCAGAACAACAAGCGAGAGGGACACCACAAAAGCTTGTGTGCAAGGGTCTATCGGAGGACCAACCTTTTGGAACATCATTTTAGATCCCTTGTTGCAAAAACTAACAGATGAAGGAGTATATTGTCAGGCATTTGCAGACGACGGAGTCCTAGTATTCTCCGACCACACGGTCAATACCATGGAGGAATCAGCCAACGCAATACTGCAGAAAGTAGTCAAATGGGGAGAGGAAAACAAATTAACTTTCGCAGCACACAAGACTAACGCGATGCTTCTGACAAGGAAACTTAAATTCAATCTCCCAAAACTCTACATGTCAGAAAATATACTGCAACTGGTTGATCTGATAGACTTATATATAGATAGACTGATATAATAGACCGGAAACTCACATTCAAACCACATGTGACCGCCGTCTGTAAAAAGCTGCGGAAATTTATAAACAGCTAGCGTGCGCCGCAAAAGTAACATGGGGCTTAAATGGAGAAATAACAAGGACAATATATGTCGCGGTCATAGAGCCGATTGTGTTGTACGCTTCAAGCATATGGGCTCCAGTGACAGAGTTGCAAATGATTCGCGATCAACTGGACAATCTTCAAAGAGGATTTGCACAAAAAATCTGCAGAGCGTACCGCACAGTATCGCTCATGGCGTCTCTGGTACTCTCTGGTCTATTACCATTGGACCTGAGAATCCAGGAAGCTGCAAGTTTGTACAAAGCAAAAAAAGGTATCTCAACAGACTATTTACCACCTGGAAGGAGACTGGAGAAGAGAGTGAGCTATTTGGATCTTTCACACCCCTCGACACTCATAACAACAGAGTACGAGCTCCTAGAGGGCGCGGATCTCGAATCTTTAGACTCCCGCCGGATTACTGGCCCCCAAATTTATACAGACGGCAGTAAGATAGAGGGAAAAGTTGGAGCTGCTCTAACTTGGTGGGAGGAAGGTAATGAAATCCATTACTCGACTTTCAGCTTAGCCCCTTCGTGCACCGTGTTTCAATCAGAACTATATGCACTTTACAGGGCGGTTCAATTGGCAAAAAATAGCAGGGAAAAATCCATAAACATTATGAGTGATTCTAGGTCCTCACTCGACCTGTTGGGAAACCCTAAACTTATCCATCCTCTGACGAAGCATATAAAAGAGTGCATAGAAGACATCCGGTCACAGGGGCGACGAGTGCGGATGTTCTCGCTACGAGCGCACGTGGGGACTGCCGGAAACGAACGCGCTGATAAGCTAGCGAAGACCGCGGCCCAACAAGCAACAACTGTCCCAGACTATGCAGAAGTCCTGTTGTCTTATGTCAAAAGAAAGATCAGAGAAGAGTCTATACGGAAATGGCAGGATAGGTACAACGCCTCCAGTACAGGGCAAGTCACCAAAACGTTTTTCCCCGATGTAGATAAAGCTTGCCGCATCGTGAGGAAAGTAAAACTGACACACTACCAAGTGCAAATCATTACAGGACACGGCGGAATGGCTGAGTACTTACATCGGTTCAAGTTGAAAAACAGTCCCGGCTGTGAGTGCAACCCAAATATCAGTGAGTCTGTGTGGCA